ATGTATATATTTGTATATATATATATATATGTTTAGTTATATATATATATATATATATATATTTATTATTTTAAATATATATACATATGTATATATATATATATATGTATATATTTATATATTTATATATATATATATATATATATATATATATATATATATATATATATATATATATATATATATATATATATATAGTATATATATTATATATATATATATATATATATATATATATATATATATATATATATATATATATATATATATATATATATATATATATATATATATATATATATATATATATATATATATATATATATATATATATATATATGAGAGTGTGTGTGTGTGCGCGTTGGGTATAGGTATCGATTATTTACAGTTTTTTGCGTTAGACAAAAACCCTATAATTTTTTTGAACTTAACTTGTTTATACATTCTTTTAAGGTTAAGCATGAAACTTGAGATTTTTTGCATCATCAGTTTAAATCTACCTCTTCTCAACCATATATAGGAAGCACTATTTACTACTTTATATACTATTTACATAGCTTTACTTATATATATTTTTTTTCAGAGTTTCAGAAAAAATTTATATTCCAACTTGCTGAAATAAAAAATATTTTAGTGGCTCGAACTGCACTGTTCTCTAATAATCCAGAAGAAGGTTTTAAACAACGTAAAAGTTCAGATAAACTTAATGTTTTGAAAAAAAATTCGCAGATGGAGATATCCAATACATCACTTTTGTATACATGAGTTTCATCTTTTAAGTTTTTATGTTTATATTTTTACAATATTTATTTTAAATTGTCATAAACATTTTCAATGTTTCTTATATATTGTTTCTTTTTAGGTAAAACAGTTATCATTAATTCACGGTAAAAGTCTAGCTGATACAACTTAAAATATTTTGCTCTTGTAAGTAATTAGCAAAAGTTTGAATTTTAACATTTATGATTGACAGTACAGCATTTATCTTTTTTTTTATATATGTAGACTGCCAACAGACACTATTTTGTCAGAATACAGCATGAATTGTTTAAAGAAGAAAAAAAAGTTTAAAGAGTTGACAAGTCTATGTAACGCTGTCACTGGTATTCTTATTAGCTTATTAATGTTTTTATTTAATTAAAAAATAAAAATGATGTTTTAATTTTAAAAAATTTAATTTTTTTGAAAACATATTATGTTCCAGAGCCAAATAAATTTAATTTTTTTGGCTCTGGAACATGACATGTATTCAAGTGTATGTATGACATATATATTATATTTTATGAACTTATTGAAACATGTTTTGATGTTTTTATTAGAAGCTGCTTTAAAGTCAAATAAAAACTTAACCAAAATGAATGCTATCTAATTTTTTGGGAGAGGAATTAGGCATTCTTATGAGCGAATGAAGAGAACATTTATTGACTAATATGGATTTCGATCAATGTTGGCTTAATTAACTGTTTGTCATTTTTAAGCAATTTTCTTCTATTTATAATGCACTATTGATTTTATTCTACAGTACC